AACTCAACGAAAGTAACTTCGGAATCCCAGGGGGCCTGTCGCGCTGAAATGTTTGAGCCAAAATTGGCCACGGACGGTCCATTGGTGTCTTGGTGTTGCTGTTGCTGTGTGCATGTGAGTCCAGTCCTTCGGACGTGTGAGCGTGTGTGCGTGTGTGTGCATATTTGATTGCGGTGTGCATGTGCGTGTGTGGTGCATGTGTCCCCATGGGCGCCTGTGAGACCACGCTGAGACTATCTGCATTCGTGAACGCATCATTCATTTGATATTGTTGGCGATTAATGCTGGCAGCTGATGCCCTGGATCGGAACTGGTATCTACTATCTACTGGAGGCCACTGGAGGCTGGTCGAGCCCTAGGGGAAGCCAGTTGAGGAGGGGGGGTAAAATGAGAAGGGGCATGCCTGCTTTGAAGAACAAACCTGTGAGAGACATGTGGTGTGATCCCGCTGAAGCCGCCAGGGCCTCTCCCTCGTAATCGGTCCCCTATCGGCCCCAGCAGGAGGCCATCTCACTCCTTACGTTACCGTACCCACAAGAATACTTCTAATAGGCGAAGACAATGCAAGCCCTCAACACAACGACGCCTCCAGAAGTTGCCTGATGACCGCTGGAGCAAATGTCTTTTTCACCTGTCGCCCACGAAAGGCCCGGCGTGGCATCGACCCTGTCCGTCGACGCGGCCGCAGCTGATGCAGCCAGCTGGTGTTCCTCGATCAGCTTGTCCGGCTCGACCCGCACGACATTGCTGAAGACATACGCCACCCAACAGGAGAAAGCAGAAATGCACATCCCATTGCCAGACAGCTGCTTCAGGTTGGTTTCGCTCAGACTCTCAAGGAATGGCTGCATTCGGCATCGGTAGCGTGACTGCATGCCTCCAATAACATGGAACCCATGAGCTGCGAAGTGCTCAAGGCCTACTGCAGCTCTCTGCAATGCCCAAGACCAGACGCATCCATGTTTAAGCTGGCATGGGAACTCCTTGCCGTGAGTGGAGCGAGTGTTCGGCCAGTGGTCCAAGTCGGCCAAGAAGGAATCGCCATCGAACTCCTGAGCCCCGATGGTTTCATAGGCCAGGCGCCTCTCCCGATTGCCAGGGCACAACGTGTCGAGCATATCGTCGCCGCTGGTAGGTGCATCGGCGACGTTCTCGAAATGAATGTGCCGGGCTTTGAAAAGCTGCGTTGCAATGGTTTGGAGGTATGCCTCGTCGGCGCCCATGTACATCGAGCCGTCGTTGACGACCTTGGCGCCGAAGATGTCCTCGAACTCCTTTTGCACAGCCTCGTGAGTCTCTGGGCCGATCCACTTCAAACGATGTCTGAAGCACCCGAACGAGAATACTCGATTGCGGTGATGTGGCTCACCTTGCTGAAGAGGCCCCCACTGAACCCACGCGACATGAATCCACGGAGACATCGGCACCGCCAGTTTCTCTTGCACAGGGTAATACTTCGAACATTCCTGGAAGAAAAAAAAAAAAAAAAAAAAAAAAAACTAAAAAAAAAAAAAAAAAAAAAGAAAAAAAAAAAAAAAAAAAAAAAAAAAAAAAAAAAAAAAAAAAAAAAAAAAAAAAAAAAAAAAAAAAAAAAAAAAAAAAAAAACAAAAAAAACAAAAAATAAAAAAAAAAAAAAAAAAAAAAAAAAAAAAAAAAAAAAAAAAAAAAAAAAAAAAAAAAAAAACAAAAACAAAAAAAAAAAAAAAAAAAAAAAAAAAAAAAAAGCAAAAAAAAAAAAAAAAAAAAAAAAAAGAAAAAAAAAAAGAAAAAAAAAAAAAAAAAAAAAAAAAAAAAAAAAAAAAAAAAAAGCAACCCTCTTCGCCAATCTCCGCAAACCTGACCTTCTGAGCAATCCAAATGTTGTTCACTCGCTCCGATGAATGAGAAAAAGCTTTGAGCTTGCTGGTGGATACAGGGCTCCAAGCCACGCACGTGTTGCCTGCCCAGTTGATGCGAAGCTTGCCCACGTCCTCAACAGTGGGTTCTGGATTTGTTCGGCACATCTGATGGTGCTCGATGCACTCTGTGCGAGAACCTTCTGGCCACAGCCACCCTCTGTTGTCCAGCAACCACGTGAGCATGGTCTTGTAACTCGATGCTGCTATGGTCCGCGCCGCTTCGACGCCACCTGAGGTGTCGGTGCTTGGCTCCAGCGTGTCCAAGCAGCCTTTGGCGTCCTCGGCTAAGGTGGCCTCGATGTCTGCCAGAGCGCAAGATTCTCCTTGATCCAGACGATCGGATATCCAGACCAATGCCTTTTGGGGCAGGGCTGCATTGTCGCATGCTCGCGTGAACTTGAAGGAAATCCGTTCAGCCCAAGGTTCGTTGACGACGCGGGCAAGGCCGATGCCCAGTTGCCAACGCATCTCCTTCGGCATGTCGCACCCTGAGTAATCAGAAGTGTTCAGGGTGCCTGGTGACAAAAGTTCGCGCCAGCGCTCAACCACCTGTGGGTCTCGATCACGAAGCCGACGCCAGTGGGATTCTGGCCAGAGGGCGAACTCTGCGAGGGAGCGAGGACCGTCGGCGCCAGCCCTGAACCTCTGGACATGGTAGAACCGCTTGTCGGGTCTCTGACTCAGAAGCTGCTCGAAGTCGTCGTCATCAATGTTGGCCGACGGCCTCTTTCGGCATCTCGCGCTGGCCATCGCCGGGCGCTGCAACAGACCATCGAGGTTGAGCAAGTTGCGACCGCGCCGCACTGTCAGAGCAACTGGGCCAGGGCTCGGTGCAACGAGGACGCGCCCCAAGATGCATTGAGCAACAATGGCTGCTGATCATCACGACAGGAGGGCGTTTCTATGGACTAGGTTCGGACCCTGACGCGCGCCAGCGTTTCCGCTCCTCCTGATTCACAGCATCTCCTCCTTCTCCCCCTCCTCACTCTCACCCCCTTCCCTTCCCTTTTGTGCTCTCCGCTCTAGTCAGCGTTGTCGTCCTTGTGATCCTCAACCTCCTCCTTGGCGGCCTTGGCGTGTTTGCTCGGAGCAAACACGCCAAGGGGGAGGTCAAAGGAGCCCCCGCGACGGCGTCCAAGGACCCCCATGCACGTCTGACGACACGTTGACCACCTCCCATGCCCCCCATCACACCAGCAGCTGAGCGCCAGCTCACGCTACCCTCTCGAGGCTCTGGCACTACCCTGAGAAGGCGTTGGAACAAATTGAGCGTTGCAATGTCCGTTATAGTTCGTCACGCTCCGTTTCTGTCGGACCTTAGGGTGTTAGGGTGTTAAGGGGGGGAATCTACGGATATGGTCCCGAACTAGCTCGGAATCGCCCACAATGGCCAAAATCATGGGTTTTTGCAGATTCTGAATTTCCCCCCGAGTTCCCCGAGTTTCCCGAGTTTCAAACTCGGGAGCGTCATTTCTACCCGGGTGATTTGTCAGTTGCCCTTTCTGTTCGGGTCGATTTCCTTTTATTTATTGCAGGCTGAATGCTCTCAAAGCCGTATCCAAGGTGCAACAAACTAATGGTTTGCAATGGTTTGAGGGCCGAAAATGACTGTCTCACCCGGGTCGGTGGCAAGCTCCCGAGTTTCCCGAGTCTCCCGAGTTTCCCGAGTCTCGTGATTTCAACATTTCAATGGTTTTCGCCTCTCACCCTCAATTTCGCTGCTTTGCACGCATCTGGGCAGGTTTGGGCTCGGTTGGCGGCGGTTCCCGCATACTAGTCTGCGGGGGTGGGGACGCACGCGCGTTCGCCGGCCCACTGGGCCGAGGGCCACCGACTGCAAGGAGGGGGAGGGGGGGAAAGGGCGGAGGCGCAGGCGCAGGCGGCGGCAGCGCGGCCTTGTCGCGCAGGCTGCCCGAAGCGCCCAGCAGGCGCCGAAGTTGTCGCACAGCGTCACATCGCCGCCTGCAAAGGGGGGGAGCGGACGCAGCATAGTGAGATGGCCCCACGATGGCCCCGAAGAGCCCCAAGAGGGGCCCAAGAAGGCCGAAGACGGCTCCAAGATCGCCCAAGAGGCGCCCAAGAGCGCTCTAAGACGGCCGCAAGGCGCCGTTTGAGTTTGAGAGCCTCCGAGGGGGCGTATCCAATTGAAGGGTCTACTCTTTTTGAGCCATGGGGCCCGCGATGGCCCCAAGAGGCCCCCCAGCCCTCCCCCCGCCCTGTTTGGCCCAAGATGGCTCCAAGAGGGCCCTAGATAGCCCCCGCCACCATCCTCATCCTCATCCTCATCCTCCACCTCCTCTCATCCTCATCCTCATCCTCAACCTTCGGGTGAGGGCCGCGCGAGCCCCGTTGCACGCGAGCTGCGGTCACTTGGGATCGGTTGCGGGCAAGAAAGACTCAAGTGAGAGAGAGAGAGGGAGGGAGAGAGAGAAAGAGAGAGTCTTCGTCCTCTTCCTCTTCATCCTCCTCCCTCGCCCTCCTCTTCCTCCGCCTCCTCTTCCTCCTCCTCCTCCTCCTCCCTCCTCCTCCCTCCTCTTCTCATCCCTCCTCCCTCCTCCCTCCTCCCTCATCCTCCTCATCCTCCCCCTCCCCCTCCTCCTCATCCTCATCCTCATCCTCCTCCACCTCCTCTCATCCTCATCCTCATCCTCAACCTTCCACTAGGCATCATCTTATTCCCCATCCTCTCTCCGGGCGAGGGCCGCGCGAGCCTCGTTGAACACGAGCTGCGGCCACCTGGGATCGGTCGCGGGCAAGAAAGACTAAAGTGAGAGAGAGAAAGAGAGAAGAGAGAGTCTTCCTCCTCTTCCTCTTCATCCTCCTCCCTCGTCCTCCTCTTCCTCCGCCTCCTCTTCTTCCTCCTCCTCCTCCTCCCCCTCCCTCCTCCTCCCTCCTCCTCTCATCCCTCCTCCTCCCTCCTCCTCCTCATCCCCCCCCTCCCCCATCCTCCTCCTCCTCCTCTTCGTCCTCCTCCTCCCCCCCCTCCTCCTCCACCCTCCCTCCTTTGGGGCGTGCGTTCTCCACCCCCTCCCCCCTCTCCCTTCAAAGGGCGTAGGGGGAGGAGGGGGAGGGGTGTGGATGTTGATGGCATGCCACCTGGCTCAAGGATTGCACGCCTCACGCTCCAAGGCGCCCAGCTCGTCGATGCGGCCGTCGTCCCAGAGCTGCAGATCCTCGGCCCAGGCGTCCACGTGCTGGCCCTTCGAGCCGCAGCTGTCGCCAAGGCAAGCCCAGTGCGGCATGCGGCGCTGCGCTCCCTCAGATCCACCATCGCTGTTGATTGTCTGGCTCTTGCTGCAGCCCTTGCCAGTGTGTCCTGGCCGCTTGCACCTTGCCCTCCACCCGGTGAACTCTCCAGTGACGTTGCTGTGCAACCTGAAGAGCGACACCCATTTGAAGTATTTGTTGCCCTGTTCGTCCTCGTAAGATCGGAACCGATTCGGCCCACGCGGCTTGCGCGGCGCCTTCTGCTTGTCCTCGTCGCTGTCGCCTCCCCCCTCAGAGTCATCATCATCTTCACCGTCAGACGGTGAAGCAGATTCGCTGCTGGAAGAAGACCTTCTTGAAGAAATGGTCGAATCTGATGTGCTGGACTCGCTTGATGAAGACTCCGCATCTTCCTCCACGACCTCCGCGCCCTCGTCAGCGTTGCCGTCGTCACCCTTGTCGGCGTCGGCCTCCTCGTGGTCTCCGCCTGCTGGGGCTGGGGGGGTCTTCATGATCCTGATCCCCCTCGTCGAGGCGCGCGCCCTCTTCGCGGCTGGAGGCTGCGGCAGGGAGTCCCCAGGCCAGTCCTCGTCGCCGATGATGGGCACCTGGGGCTGGCGACGAGAGGGCTGCTCAATGCCGAGTACCATCATGTACCATGCAGCCGGGGCAAAGTGGCGAACTTCCTCGATGGTCATTGTCTCCTCATCCTCACTTTTGATCAGCGCCAGCAGGTAGTATTTGGAAACCGAATGCCCTTTGAATGAATACCACTTCTTACCGATCCCAGGAGTGTGCGGCTTCTCCACCGCCGCTGCTTTCTCCCTTGGTGGACATCTGAAGCATCGCCTGGCCTCGCCCGCCCTAGCCCTAAGAAGTGATAGTTGTTGCTTACCCTGGCTCTTGGTAAGCAACAACTGTCCCCTCTTCCCAAGCGTGCCAGGCGAGCTTCTGACGACCACGGTCCATGACGTTGATAAGTCGAAGTTAACCCAGCCCGTCTCCTCCATGTACAAGATCAGCTGTGCGAGGGTTGCCTCGTTGATGTCATTGGTGCGTTTGTGCGGCATCAGCAGCGGCGTTGGGCAGTTCAAGCCGATGCCGACTTCAAGGAGCGCCTTCCCCATGACGGTGATCTTGTACGGCGGTCCTTCCCAGAGGCCCAATTTGCACAGCGTACCCATGAGCTCCTGGATTGGCCGTAGGGGATGTTCAGGCACGACCTGCTCCCGATTGCAACCGTTCGGGTACTTCAGAAGCGTGTGGATCGCCATCCCAAACATCTCCATCTCCTCCACTGGAATCTGCGACATGATGTGTTCAGGCAATCTCACCTCAAAGAACTCGTTGTTGGAACGTCTCCAGGAACATATCTTAGACAAAATATCTGGCGAGAGCGCAGCTGGATGAAGAGCACATGGCTCAGCGGCGTCGCCAAACTCCTTGCCCACCGCGTTGGCGCTAACTGCACAAGTATGTTGAGCCTTGTTGTGCCTCAGAAGCTTGTGCACCACGAAGGTTTTGACGCCTCCGAGTTGCACTTGGCCTGATATCTTCGGCCGGGGAATGCGGCTGACGTCCGCCATAACGACCTTGAAAAAACAGGATCTCGTCGTCACCGCTCTGAGGCAAGGGCAGGGCCGCCTGCCAGGTGCCCTCGTCAACAGGCTGCTGTTCTGGATCGAATGCTTGAAACAGCTTGTGCAGCTCTACGATGGCATTGTGCTGAAGGGGCATGCTGTACACCGTGCCGTCAGCCTTCAATGCGTTAATCACATGGTTCACAAAAGCATCTCTCTTGCAGGCGCAGTCGGACTCGCTCAAAGGGATCTTGTGCGGGTGCTCGATGAAGTTGGCGCTGGTGACCTCGATCTTGGGCAGCTCCATCCTGTACTTGGTGAAGGCGTCTGCATGGTAGAGCACTTGCCAGTGAATCTTATCTGAGTCCCCCGTCCGCACAGCACGTTCTGACTCTGGGTGCTTTGCGATGCCAAGAATCTCACACGCTTTTCGGCCATTATTCACGTCCTGGACATCCTTTGCAAAGGTGAGGAAGGCATGTAGACTCGTCGTGATGTACTTGCTGAGGTTCTGCATCCTATTCGACAAGCTGACCGTTGCATTTCCATGATGCGGAGCCCTGACAACCTCGTGCTTCGTCTTGGCATGGGTACCCTCAACAACTCTTTCTGCACTCGGCGCGAAACGATACAGGCCCATCCAATACCGAAGATGTGGCTTATCAGCGGCGTCCCGAAAGGCTCGCTCAAATCCATTCGCTGCCCACTCCCTCGCTTCTTCTTGCGCGCGTGCATCTGATAGGAAAGCGTCAGTAGCAGCATGCTTGCCCAACTTGCGCAGTACTTGTTGGTAACACGCCCGGGCTCTCTCTTGGCTTCCACATGCCATCCCAATAATGCTGTAAGTAGACGAAGTACCGTGCGCCAACTTGACCGTGTAATAGGCGACAATGTGAGCCCTGCCACTTTCACACTGCTCGAGGATGCTCTGCTTATCGGGCTGCCCGATGTCGTTAGGCAGATGACTGGCGAACTCTGCGACGTGGTAGCTCAGGCGCTGCTTCACATAATCAAGAAGACCACCTGCGCATACATCATGGCATCGCATGCCTCTCAACGGGCACTTCGAGGCTCGATCGCGAACACGTTTGACAACCTCCTCGTCGTGGCCGCGGTCTCCTGCGCGCAACTCCTCAAGCAAGTCGAAATGGCAAGAGCACGACTCGCACCACCTGAGTATGTCAAACAGTGCTTGTGCAATTCTGTCCAGCATGCGCCAGTAAGCCCACCAAAACGGCGACTTGATGGTCTCATCTAGGTCCTTCAATTTGACACCGCCGACGTCGTTGTTATCACCATCAACGATTCTGTTCTTCTTGCCGTGGTTGTATTTGAGGCAGTCCCAGCCGTAACGCAAGCCCGCCTCGACGTCGCCTGTGATGTGGAGTACGGCGTTGGCAACTGTGCCCCATCGCTCGACGTGGCAGTGGCCCTTGAACTTCTCGATGGGCTCAAACAAGACCTTCATGACTGGCGAATTTGAGAAGCACGTGGATTCAAGCCGCTCCTTCGACTCAGGGTTGTCCAACAGCTCTGCCACTTTACTGAGTCTCCTGACAGCCTCCGTGTAATCTGGCATCACATCTGCAAGGTGTTTGCCAGCATTGTGGTTCAAGTGAAGCGCCCCGCTGAACTCGAGGCTCCTGCTCATGTCGATCATCTCTTGCCCGTGCGCGGCAGGCGCAGCGAAGTCGACCTTCCATCGAGCTTGACAGCAACAGTGACCTGAACCCCCGCCCCGACTCCCCGGCGGATTCCGAGATGCACCCCCTGGGATCCGAACATGGAACTTCCTGAAACCGCTTCCCCTCCCCCTTGCCCCTTGCCCCAGGTCTCCAGGCCGCCGGGGCCAGGGCTCAAAAAAAAAAACAAACAAAAAGAAACAAATAAACAAAAATAAAATAATAAAATAAATAAAAAAAAACAAAAAAAAAAAAAAAAAAATAAAAAACTAAAAAAAAATAAAAAAAAAAAAACTAATAAAAAAAATAAAAAAAAAAAAGCTCAAGCCAGTTGTTGCCAAACACGGTGCCTCCTCGTCGTCGTCGTCTGGCCGCACGTAGGACAGCACATTCTCCACCGTGATGGGCTCGATGCGTGCAATCCCAGACTCCGTGCCTTGATCCGACAGCCAGACGGGCACGTCCTTCACGAGCTGCGCGAAGGTGGCAACATCTGGGCTGAGGAGAAACAGCTGGTGCATGATCGCGTGGAACTTCGCCGGTAAGTTCGCCCGCCCGAAACCCAATTGAACTGCAGGGGCCGTGTGCCTCAAGAGCATCCCTTCGATCTGCGCCATGATGTCCTCTTCGAAGCTCCAGTCGTCTATTCGCTGGTCGAGCGTCTTCTCGATGTTGCAGCGATCGAGTCCGCATGCGAGGCGATGTGCCGTCGGAACTGAGGACTTCCCAATCATCAACAGCACTGTCATCTGGTAGTCTCGGCCCCCTTGAGGGCTTGAATCTGGAATCGGGTACAGAATGACACCGTCGTTATCGGCTGTGAAACCTTCAATGACGCGCCTCGCTGCCAGCATTCAGGCCGCGTCCACGCGACCTCGCATCCGTGACAGAGTGGCCTCGCTCGCCACCCGCCCATGGACGCGTTCTGCCTCGATCGAGCTGCAGAACTCCTGCGCGAGATGTTGTGGAAGCACAGCTCTGATCGCCCAGAAGCATGTCCGTTTCAAATCCGCATCGTTCTTCAAATACTGTGACGCGCAGAACATGTTCACAATGTCCGCAGCCGGGTATTTGCACCTGGGGTCTTTGCCTTGATTCTTTGACATGAAGACCGTCATCTTGTCGCCGAGATGCGTGAGCAGAGCCAACTTGTGATGCGCATTCTCCGCCATGTGGTCATCCGCCTGGTTCATGCGAATGCAATGGTCAAGTGGCCTTCTCAAAGCATTCCCAATTGCCTCTGCCGCTGTTGCGTCTAGAGAAGGGTGGCATTCGAACAGTTCGTCAGGCGGCCGATGGAATCTGCACGGCGGGAACGATTCCAACAGAACACGCATAGCTTGGTTGCGATCTGGTCCACGACGCCGCTGTTGAAGTTGATGGGACGTACTCCACACATTGGTCCACCTGAGAGGAAGGCCCTCCCTGTTCAGATTTGCCAAACTGAATGATGAATAACTTTGTCTTTCAACCTGCGCCATGATGGCGTCGATCCAGCATCTAGGTAATGATACGCACAGAAGAGGCTCTTGATACGCGTCTCTTCCTTCGATCGGTGGCACTACGGATCGGCACGACGCCCATTCAGGTAAGCTCCCACCATGCAGGTCCCTGAGCCTCTCGACCATCACATGCACTTGATCTCCGTGAAGATGCTTCAGAAACCCATGTCGCCCTCCTGGGCCGTCCATTGCGAGTTTCCAAGTGGCGTTGTTATGGAAAGTGACAGCCCCGATAACTCTGAAGAAGAACATCTCGCCCACGTTGCAGCTTCCGTCACTCATTAAGGCCCAGAACTTTCTCTGCTCCTCCTCAAACCGACTGAGAAGGTGGGCGCTGTCAAAGACGAAGCCTGCCTCCACGAGGACGATCCCATGTATCAGCATCTTGCCTGCCTCATCTGGTGAGTCGGCCAGTCTTCCAGCAGGAATGCCCAACTCTGCCATCAGCGCATTCATCGAAAGGGGTTCTGGCCGCTGTGTCCGGGTACGCCCTGGTTTTCTTGCCATCCTCGTCGGCCGTCTTGACTTTCACCGCCTTCGGCAAAGAAGCAATCCAGATGCCCACGCGCGGCCTGTTCGCCGCATCAAACGACGACATCGATGAGAAAAGGGCCAGGGCCTCGCCGCTGACAAATATGTACAATATGGAGGCTGATACGAGTATCAGTTCACGAAAACGCATGGTTGCTATGGAAGCGAGCCAAAGAGGCTACGGGGGGAATGCAGAATGCAGGGATGAAAAAGGGGATGGGGGGAGATCTCTGGACTTCGAATCCAAACTGGCGTTTGTGGCGGCCCTCCCTCCTATCTCTGTTTAGATTATCCCTGAATGGGAGGGTTGGTCGTTTCGTAATTGGAGGGAATCAAATCCGACCGATCCGCTCACCCTTTCCTCTTTATCGTGCTCCTCCTTGTTCTCTCGCCTCCTCGCAGTCCGCTTCTGCCGCTAAGTCGCTAATGCACCAGAGGCCCGAGAAGAAACAAGCAAACCCAGCCCCTTGGGCATATAAGCATGAGTTATACACTTAGAATGAGCAGGAATCGCCCTACTTGTCGGTATAACAGACCCATGGGGTCCTTCACCGACAGCCCACCTCCTCCTCGTCCTCCTCCTCCTCCTCACCGTCGATATAGGACATCTTGAAACTTGCCACCACAAACTGGAAGAAGTGCCAGCCGATTATCCCGTTCTGGAAGGGCCCGCCTTCCAACCACGCAGCGGTTGAGCAATGTTGCACGTCGGGTCGGCATTGTCGATGACGTCGCAAGGTGGTACCCCACTTCAGAGACGCCTTCCAACTTCTTGTGTAACTGTTGCAAGGTTCTGCAGTTGCAAAAAAAAAGATTCTGCACAAGCTTCACTTTGGAAAGATGCCACCCTCTATGCGCGGCGCTCACTTTCACACGTGATAGTGAAGTCTCAAGCGGGAGCTCCGAATTGAAAAAAAAGTCGTTCCATCCTGCTGGACGCTGTAAACGGTTTAGAGGTGTGCGCGGCGCTACGGCGGGAGCCACATTCCGAGAACGGGCCCCCCCTCCATTCTCATAGCTGTTGCAGACACTGAAAACGAATGTGCGCAGCACTGTGTCGAGAACCGCGTCTTCTCACCGACCAGCTGGCCACCCCGTGTGACCGTGGAACGCTCCAGCTTCGGACTCGCCGCAGGGGGGAAGTCTCGGGCCGTCCCGGGCGAAACGCCCAGACCTTCCTGCCGACACGCCGGCGGGCGCGAGGCGGAGGACCTGCTGGCACAGGAACGGACCACGCCGTGAACAGAAAACGTTCGAAGCTCCGCGCGGAGGTCCGAACACCTTGCGGCTGGCTTTGGGAGAACATGGCGTGCAGCATCGGTCTCCCGGGAGCCGGGCATCCCTCGGGGGCGATGCCTCCGCGAGGGCCCGTGCCGTGCCCGCCATCCCCCTGCCAGGGCTTCTTCGGCGTCCGCGGTCCCCGGGGTGGTCATGGCCGGGCCAGCGGCGCCACGTATCGCGCGCCACCTGTCCTTCGTGCTCCACTCTGTGCACGCCGTTCCTCACTTCCGCCACCTCGTCGACGAGAGCAGTCCGCAGGCGGTGGCGCCTCCAACGGTGCCCGAGAGGGTAGGGCATGGCCAGCGCGCCCTGGCGACGTGCGCCTGTATTGGAGCAGCTGCGGCTGTAATAGAGACAGGTCTCGAAGGAACTGTGCGGGCGGAGGTCGAGCGCGCAAGGGATGACCCCGCGCCAGCCCACAAGATGTGGAGGAGCTGCTCACAAGGAAGAGGGACGGAGGGGGCGGCCACCCCAGCCGCCTGGGGCGAGAACGCCGAGGGGGTCACCAGCGTCACAGCGTATTTGAAGCCTCCCGCCTGGGGGCCAGCCCGGGTCGCAGGGGCGGGAAGGGGAGGGAGACGGATGGAGAGAAAGGAAGATCCTCCTCCTCCTCCTGGGAGAGAGAGAGAGAGAGAGAAATATGGAGAGAGAGAGAGAGAGAAACACAGAGAGAGAGAGAGAGGGAGAGAGAACAAATAAAGAGAGAGAGAGAGAGAGAGAAAAAAAAACAAAAACAAAGAAACGAGAGGACGCGACGGGACAGGACGGGGCGGGGCGAAGGAGGGATGGGGATGGGCATGGTGGAAGGGGAGTTGGCGGCGCGCAGAAGGGGGTGGAGGGAGGGGGGAAGACTTCTTAGCAGGAGGCTGCTTCTTAGAAGGCGGCGGCCTTACATCTATACATAAGGACGGCGCCTTCTAAGAAGCAGGGGTGCTTCTAAGAAGCCTTCCCCCTCCCCATACCCCCATCTGCGCGTGGCCGAGGGAGGGTGAATGAAAGAATGCTGTTTCGCACGCTGATGTTTCATCTGCTTGTGGTTCGCTGTTGTTTTGTCCGCTTTTGTTTCGCCCATTTCTGTTTCACCCGCTCGTGTTTCGCCCACATTTTGATTAATCTGCCTTTTGCGTCGTCCGCTGTTATTTCGTCCACTTTCGTCTCGTCCACAATTTCTTTCGCCCGCTTTTGATTCGTCCCCTTTCGCTTTGCGTGTTTTCGTTGTTACTTCATGGCAATCGAGGTAAAGCGAACTAAGACTGGGCGAGGTAAAACTGGGCGAAGTACAATAGGGCGAACTAAAACTGGGCGAACTAAACTGGGCGAAATCGGCAAATCCAAGCCGGACGAATTTCTACCGGGCAAATTGAAACCAGATAGGTCTAACTCATGCGATTTACAGACAGGCGAGTTACAAGCGGCCGAATTAAATGCAGGCGAAGTGGAACCGGGCGCATTAATCCTGGATGAATTTAAACAGGGTGAAATCAAGCCAAGCGGGTTCAATTCTGGCGAGTTGCAGCTGGATGGCCTGAAAATGTGACAAATCGAAAAGGCTACACTGTGCGACGCTCTACTCGGCCGATTCGAAGGTGTGAGGATCGAACGCGGGAGCGAATGGGTGGGCCTGCCACAGGTTTCCATCAGCCGGTGCGCGTGACAGGCGTTTGTGGTAACTGCGCTGCCCAATTTCCATCCTCCTCATTTTCCTCCCTCTTTCTCCGCCTGTTTCTTTTCAGGGAGCTAACCTACTCATCCCGCAGATAGGGTTTCGGTGGACTTTGACTTGCCTCGCTGTATTTCTGAACGCGCGCTGCTGTGTGGCGGTTCCCTTGTCCATACAATGGGCAAGAAGTGACAAGCCCACGCGAAACGCTTGGCCTGGTTGACGCACATGTCTGGTGAAATCACACGGGAACATGTTTGATACGGGTGAGGGAAGGAGGAGCAGGAGGGTGAGGAGGAGGAGGAAGAGGGGGAGGAGGGCGAAGACGAGGAGGAGGCGGAGGCACGAGGAGAACTAGGCCGGCACAGTTCTCATTCTTTGGCGTTTGTCCGCCTGGGCACCCGCGGCCAGACGACGGCATCGGCGACGACGGCGGTGACGACGACAACGGCGACGGCTGCGACCGGTTCTGGTTCAGGGGGTGGTGGCCCTCTTCGTGCTCCTCCTCCTCCTCCTCCTCATTATCTTCCTCGTCCTCCTCCTCCTCCTTATCCCCCTCCCTTCCTCTCTACTCCTTATTTCCCTCTCACTTCTCCCTCCTCTGCTCCTCCGTCGTCTCTCCTGCCTCACTCCTTACTCATGCGTCTCTCTTGTTTCTGCTTCCCAGAGAAATGTGAAGGTTCCCTGGAGACGCCCAGAGGCCCCAAAGTGGCAGAAAAATAAATACACTATGATCCGAGGCCTTGATTCTTTGATTTCGAGCTTTCGTGACATCGGGGAGTGTGAGGAGGACGCTCGGTTTGGGCCCCTTCGAAGATACTTACAGTGCGGACCATTAATTATCCTGGCGAAGGACCCAACCATAAGCAATTGTTCGTAA